CCACTTTGCTTCCTCTCCCTTCTCTCCATCTACATCCATCCATACAGTCCACTTCTACTTACCCCTCCTATCCACCTCTCCCTCCTCTCCACTCCTCCTATCCACTTTCCATCCTATCCACCTCTCCCTCCTCTCCACTCCTCCTATCACTTTCCATCCTATCCACCTCTCCCTCCTTCCACTCCTCTATCCACTCCACTTCCTCCACCTCCCATCCTCTCCACTCCTCCTATCCACTTTCCATCCTATCCACCTCTCCCTCCTCTCCATCCACATTCATCCACATCCACTTCCCCTTCCTCCACCTATCCACACCGCCCCTCCCCTTCTCCCCTATCCACCTCTCCTCCTTTCCTCCCTTTCCCTCCCCTCCACCTCTCCCTCCCCTCCCCTCCTATCCATCCACCTCTCCCTCCTCTCCACCTCCCTCCTCTCCACCCCTCCTTCCTCTCCACCTTCCTTCCACCTCTCCCCTCTCTCCACCCCTCCATCCTCAAAACCCTCCACCTCTCCCTCCTTTCTCTCCACCCCTCCTATCCACACCCATCCACCTACCCGCCCACCTAACTATCCCCCCCTCTCTCTCCCCACAGCTTGCCTTCACCGAGGCGGGCCTGCGCGTGCACGTGATCCAAGCCCCAGGACAGCACCGCGGGGTTCTGGTCAAGGCCCGAGTGGAACCCAAGTACTGGTTCGCCAGGAGTGAGCCCCAGAAGACCCATTTGGTGAAGGAGGACCCGGCGTGTTCGACCAGGTCCTGAGTTGTGATTGTTGGGGTTTGTGTGTTTTTTTGGTGTTTTTGATTAGTTTGTTTTTTTGTTAATATAGTTGTTGTTACTGTTTATTTTTTGTTATTGTTTATATTATTATTTTTATTACTTATTAATTATTATTATTATGTTATTTTATTTTATTTATTATTATTATATATTATTATTATTATTATTATGTTGTTACTATTTTATTTATTATTATATTTATTGTTGTTTCATTATGATATATTATATATTATTATTATTTTGTTAATTTTATTATTAAATTATTATGTTATTATTATTATTATTATTATTATTATTAATTATTATTATTAATTATTATTATCATTATCATCAATCAATCATCATCATCATCATCATATCATCAATTCATCATCATCATTCATCATCATTATGCATTATCATTATCATTATTATTATTATTATTATTATTATTATTATTAATATTATTTATGTTCCATTATTTATTTCCCCTTATCGTCCATTCACCCCCCGCAGCCCGGAGGTCCTGGAGGACGTGCCCGACGCAGAGCAAGGCGGAGTCCTCACGCTGCAGCTCAGGACGCCCAAGATGCTAGGCAACAGCGTGGTGCACAGCGAGGCCATCGTGCCCCTGAGGAGCGTCCCCCGGGTGTCGAGGGAGGCCCTGAGCGGCACCCACCACGTCCGGATCACGCTGACGAGGCCCTGGAACTCAGCAGTGAGTTTGTTTTGGGGGAGGGTTTGGAGGGTTTTGTTTTGTTTGTGTGATTATATATTTGTTTGGATATATGTATAATTTTTTTTTGTTTTTATGTTGGCTTCTTTATGTATTTTTTGTCTGTGTGTACTCATGTCTCTCTCTCTCTCTCTATCTCTCTCTATCTATGCATCTAATTATTATTAATTATTATTTATCTATATCTATCTATCTATCAATCTATATCTATCAATCTATCTATCTATCCTATCTTAGTCTAAATCTATCTATCATCTATATCTACATCTATATCTATCTAATCTATCTATCTATCTATCTATCTATCTGTCTGTCTCTGTCTTTTCTCTCCCTCTCTCCCTCTCTCCCCTCTCTCCCACTCTCCCTCTCTCCCCCCTCTCTCTCCTCCCTCTCTCTCCCTCATCTCTCCCTCTCTCATCCTCTCCTCTCTCTCTCTCCTCCATCTCTCTCCCTCTCTCTCCCTCTCTCTCCCTCTCTCTCCCTCCCTCTCCCTCTCTCCTCCCTCTCTCTCTCCTCTCTCTCCTCTCCTCTCCCTCTCTCTCCCTCTCTCTCCCTCTCTCTCCCTCTCTCTCCCCTCTCTCTCCCTCTTCTCCCTCTTCTCACTCTCTCTCTCCACCCTCTCTCTCCCTCTCTCTCCCTCTCTCTCCCTCCTCTCCCTCTCTCTCTCTCCTCTCTCTCTCTCTCTCTCTCCTCTCTCTCTCTCTCTCTCTCTCTCTCTCTCTCTCTCTCTCTCTCTCTCTCTCTCTCTCTCTCTCTCTCTCTCTCTCTCTCTCTCTCTCTCTCTCTCTATATATATATATATATATATATATATATATATATATATATATATATATACATATTCTTCTATCTCTCTTTGTCTGTCCCCCTCTTTATATATATATATATATATATATATATATATATATATATATATATATATATATATATATATATATATATGTATAATATATATATGTATATATATATATATATATATATATATATATATATATATATATATATAATATATATATATATCTTTGTCTGTCCCTCTCTTTCTCTCCCTCTTTCTGTCCCTCCTCTTCCCTTTCCAAATCAACTCCACCATCCCCCTCCTCACCCCCCTTCCCCTCCCCCAGGCTACCGGCCCCTGGAGGCGCTGAGGACCCGCGCCCTCGACAAGGTGGCGGTGGCGAGCCTGAAGGACCTGGCGGAGCGCTGGGAGCCCGGCGACCGCTCCAGCCAGATCCAGGAGACCCAGAAGATCCGCGCCACCTTCGCCCGCGCCGGGAGCATGAAGTCCCCGAGTTCCGCCTCGGGGAAGGGCGCCCGGAGGCCCCACGGCGGGAGCATGAGGCTGGGCTCCGTCAAGTAGGATCTCTTGGGGGGGATTGGGTTTCTCTCTGGGGGGGTTCTGTGAGGGTCGGATGTTCCTTTAGGGGTTCTGTAAGGGTTGGGGTTCCTCTTGGGGGTTTGGTAGGATTGGGGTTCCTTTGGGGTTCTGTAGGATTGGGTGTTCTTTTGGGGTTCTGTGGAACTGAGTCCTGCTGAGATCCGTGAAGTAAGATTTTCTTCCCTTTGGACCTCAGGGAATAAGATCCCTCTCGGGCTCCGTGGACTTCGATCCCTTCTAGGGCTTCAAGAAATAGAATCCCCTTCGGCCTCCCGTGAAATAAGGATCCACTCGAGTTCCCTGGAATATGACCCTCCTTCATAAGAAAGATAAAACCGTGCCTTCTAGTTCATACCTTGTACGAAATCCTCTCGAAATGGGATCCTCTTTTACCGATGGAATCATTGGAGGAGTCAGGATACAGCTGGGATCCGTAAAATAGGATATTCTTTTCACGGATGCTTCAGTTGACGAGAGAAGGATTCCAGGAGCGTAGGACACCAATACAGATCGAAGAAGGAATTCCGGGAGGTGTCGGCCGCAAGAGAAATAGTCAGTAAAGTGCCAAGAACTTTTATTACAAATCTATACGTTTTATGTTTCCTGTAGATAAAGACATTTAAAACTTGCCAGTCATTTGATATAATCTACAGTGTAAGCATCAAAGTAATATATATATATATTTATATTTATATGAAGATTATGGGCATTGCGTCCAACTTGGGCATTTTAAACTATATAGCAGAATATAGCGAAGGTGTTGCTATGGTAACGTTGACTTAGTGTTTATCATTGTTAAGTGGGTTTTGTCAAAGGAAAAAATAACAGATTTTGAATGTGGACTTGTTTCGTAAATGTATATTTAATCCTGTTTGAAATATCTCCATTTTTTTCATGCCATGTGTGCGAATATTTCTCAAAGGGATGGTTAAGTATATGCCTTGAGACACACACACACACACACACACACACACATCACACACACACACACACACACACACACACACACACACACACACACACACACACACACACACACACACACACACACACACACTTAAACGTGAATTTACACACAATCTGACCAATATGATTAATCTACCATAATCATCTGTTCATGCATTATTATATTTCATGGAAAACTAATGAAAGAACATTTATTGCATTGTTATTGTTGTTCATTTCCGTTGTGCGACTGATCTGTGATACTCCGCTGATGGGCTGAAATGGGAAGATAATTATTGCATGTTAGAATGAGGAATAATTTTGATAACTTCAGCCATCGAAGACGTTGTTGCTGTCTTCAGGAAAGTGTGTGTTTGTACATAAGATCCCCTTGTCTCTGTCCTTGAGTCGTGAATAAATGTTTTGGTCTTGTATGAGGAGTATTTTTATTTCCTCTTTCTCTCTGTCTTTTACTCACGGATGTTGTTCAAGGAAATACATTGGTATTTAGTTAAAAGGAGAAAAAATATTAGGGATAAAAACAGTTTTGTTAAAAGCTTAGAGGTGTGAGTTATGATTTTGACCAAGGTTTAAAATATCAATGTTTTTTATTAGAAAACAAAACTTAATGGCAACTTAGCAACTATTATTTCACAAGCTTAGAGAATCCGAGACTGTAATTAGAAAAAAATGGTTACAATGTTATCAAAAGCTTTATAAATAACTATGTTGATATTTGAAATGCAAATAATTGTGTTCAAATTGTAAATAAATATACTGATGATAAAAAATATATATATAGAATCGAAGTTTATGCCTCTATCAAAACCTTTGATCAGAAATCATAATTCTATCAGGAAAAATTATTTCATTCATATCAAAAATAGTTTTACCATAAACTGAGGTACATTGTCAACAGAATAAAAGAAATTGAATCATAAATCATATTTTTGTCAGAAGCCAAAAAAGAAAAAAAGTTTGGAATGAATAAAATTGGCTAAAACTGCTGGCAAAAGAAAAAAAACAATAACGAGAAATAGATAGATAAATACAAATAGACAAATTATCAGATTTCGGAAATCTTTCAAGAATTTTAGAATGATATTCACAAATACAATAAAAACTCGTGATACTATAAAAATCTGAAGTATATAACTAACCTTAAAAACTTAATAGACAAATAAATAAAAGAAGGCAGAATCACTGAAATCAATGAATAAATAATAAACAAATAGAACAAACTGAGAAACAAAATGTCAAGGGAGGCCCCACCCCCACCCCGCCCCACACCCTGTCCATCCACTAAAAAAGGAAAAAAGAAGAGTATTGATATGGTACAGGAGTGGCGGGAGCAGGAGTGGGCGCGGGCGAGGCACAGGGGAGATAACAGTCCATCCCGCGCCCGTGTGAGTGGGGGAAGCCTCGCCATGAAGCCTCTCTTGGGCGCGCTTCTGCTGGGCGCTCTGTGCGACGGCCTTTGGGCCTCAGGCCAAGGTAAGGCAGTGAATTAGCGAAGACACACGCACACACACACACACACACACACACACACACACACACACACACACACACACACACACACACACACACACACACACACACACACACACACACACACACACACACACACACACACACACACACACACACACACACACACACGTGAAAAGAATACTTCCAACAGCGTGTCGTAAAAAGGCGACTATAAGAGCCACGACAAACAGATAGACAGGCCCACTCTCCCCATCGTGATACACGTCTCGAGCCGCGTAAAGGCCGTTCCTGGCGAGTCGGCGAGTTTTCAAACAACGGTACGACGAGACAAGACGGCGTGGAAAAAGTGTGGGGAAGGCCTATGTGCAACAACATATACATATATAGATAGATAGATAGATAGATAGATAGATAGATAGATAGATAGATAGATGATAGATATAGATAGATATATAGATGATGTAGTATTAAAACAAATATTTATCTCTCTATCTGCCAATCAATCTATCTATATATCTTTATACATATATATTCTTTAATTTATCTATATATTTATGCATGCATGTGTAGCTATGCGGATAGATAGATAGATATATACATACATACATAGATAGAAAATTTAGGTATACGTATAGATATAGCTTTAAATGCATACATCTATATCTGTAAACATTTAGATGTAAGTAGATAAGAATACATATACACACCCACACAAACACACACACACATACACACAAACACATACACCGACACAAATACAAACAAACACATAAACACACACAAACCCCCCCCCCAACACACATACACGCAAACACATACACCAACACAAAAACAAACAAACACATAAACACACACACACAAACACAGAGCAGAAAAAGAAGAAAAAAAAAATACACACACACAACCACAAAGAGTAAAAAAAAAAAAAACTTAAAAATACGAGAAAGATGAACAGGAAAGAGACAAAGAGTTCTTTAAAAGGACATAAGTGATAAATAGATTACTTGATCGATATCCCTTGTCTATAGAGCCAGCACTCGAAGCGGCCAGTTTTTAGATAAGGTGGAAGAGGTCGGGAGTTTTAGTGCAGGAAGGACATTTTAGATCATTCGTAATTTAGATAGATTCATCAGATAGATGGATAGATAGATAGATAGATTTTAGATCATTCGATTTAGTACATATAGATAGATAGATGGATGGATAGATGGATGGATGGATGATGGATGATGATGATATGGTGGATGGTGGATAGTAGATAGATAGATAGATAGATGGATGGATAGGTAGATAGCTGGATGGATAGATAGATAGATGGTTGGATAGATATATAGATAGTAGATAGATGGATGGAGATGGATAGTAGATAGAGAGAGAGAGAGAGAGAGAGAGAGAGAGAGAGAGAGAGAGAGAGAGAGAAGAGAGAGAGAGAAGAGAGAGAGATGAAGAATTATGATAGGTAAATAGATAGATAGATAAATGAATGGATGGATGGAGGAGATAGATAGGTAGATAGATAGATATATAGATAGACAGATAAATAGATAGATAGATATGATGGATGATAGATCGATAGATAGATAGATAGGTAGATAGATAGATAGATACATGGATTGATAGATATATATAGATGAGATGATATGGATAGATAGATGGATGGATGGATGGATGGATGGGTAGGTAGAGAGATAGAGAGATAGATGGATGGATGGATAGATGGATAGATCGATAGATAGATAGATAGATACATACATACATAGATACATAGATTGATAGATATATAGATGGATGGATGGATGGATATGTAAGCGCGTTGTGCGTGTGTGTGAGTGTGCTTTTTGCATGTATGTGTATGCGTTGTGTTTGTGTTGTGCACGTGTATATGTGTGTGTTGTGTTGTGTGTGTGTGTGTGTGTGTGTGTATTTGTGTGTGTGTGTGTGTACATGTTGTGTGGTATGTATATGTAGGTGTCTGTATTTATGTCTATACATACATACATGTGTGCGTGTGTGGTTGTGTGTACGTGTATGTGCGTCTGACAGATAGCTACAAAATGAAAATACAAATACAAAACCACCAAAGAATATTCAAACCAAACGACAAAACCAAAACATACTCCTCAGGGCGTGACCTCACCGACCCTCCCCCCCCTTCCCCCCCCCCCCCCCGAAGCAGACCCGTGCACCGAGAGCGAAGGGACGACCGCCAAAACGACCATGACACGCTACCTCGACTTCTCCTTCTGGTACGACGGCGACCACCCGCCGCAGGGGGTTCAGATCGCCTTGACGGGGGGGAGCCTCAGGGAGCGGGATTCAACCTCACCAGGTGTGAAAGGTGAGTCGGGTGGACAGGAGCGAGAGAAGGATATGCGTATGTAGGGACACGCACACACGCACGTATATGTAAGTGATACGTATGTACACGCGCGTGTAAGTACATACACGCATACACACACATACACACACATATACATACACTTACACACATACACACACACACACACACACACACACACACACACACACACAAACACACACACACACACGCACACACGCACACACACGCACACACATACACAAACACATGCTATCCATCAGTGTGAAAATATTTCGTAATGTGTTGGATAAATGTCTGTGGTATTAATTATTTGTTATTATCATTCACAACACATTTATCACAGATAAAAAAAATCTTATTGTATTTTTCTCTTTATCTAATTCGAGAAAGTCTATATGCAAATCTACCTACGTTTCCCAGCGAGTTTACCCAGAATATTCCTTACAAATTTACCCTGCAAATCATCATGTAAGTTTCCCAGCGAATCCACCCTAAATATTCCCTAAAAAATACCCTGCAATTCTATCCGCAAGTTTCCCAGCAAAGGTTCCCATAATTTTCCCTAAAAAAATACCCCGCAAATCTACACACAAGTTTCCCAGCAATATTCCATAAAAAATTACCCTGCAATTTTATCAGCAAGTTTCTAGCAAATTTACCCGCAATATTCTATACAAATGTACCCTGTAAATCTACATGCAAGTTTAACCCGCAATATTTCAAAAAAAAAAAATAAAAAATAAAAAATACCCTGCAATTCTACCCGCAAGTTTCCTAACAAATTTCCCCGCAATATTCCCTACAAATTTCCCTTAAAAATCCATAAGCAAATTTTTCCCAGCAAATTTACCCTGCAAATCTTCATACAATATTCCTAGCAATTTTCACCCTGAATATTGCAAAAAAAAAAAAATACTGCAATTCTACCCGTGTTTCCTAGTTAATTGAACCACAATATCCCCTACAAATTCACCCTGTAAATTTACCCGCAAGAACGCCGACAAAAGTTAATTATGGACACACTAGACATCACAAGGCATCCATCAAGCTAATTCTAGATCTTCTAAATCCTTTGTTTAAAAAAAGAGTTTAATTTAATCTTTAACAAGAGCCTTTCTCTCTCTCCCCCCCCTCTCCCACTCCATTCTTCTCTCTTTCCCCTTCTCCTTCTTTCTTTCTCCCTTCTCCTCTCTTCCTTCTTTCTCCTTTGTTCCTTTTCCCTTCTCCTTCCTTCTTTCTCCCTTCTTCTTCCTTCTTACTCCCTCCTCTTTTCTCCCTTCTCCATTTTCCCGTCTACTTCCTTCTTTCTCCCATCTCCTTTCTCCTTTTATCCGTCTCCTCTCCCTTCTCCTTTCTTGTCCATTGTCCCTTCTCCTCCTTCCTCCTTTTGCCTTCTCCCTTCTCACTTCCTTCTCCTTTTCTCTTCTTCTCCCTTCTCCTTCTCATTCCTCCTTTTTCCCTTTCTGCCTCCTCCTTCTCCCTTCTCCTTCCCCCTTTTCCCTTCTCCTTTTCTCTCTTCTCCCTTCTCATTCCTCTTTTTCCCTCTCTGCCTCCTCCTCTCTCCCATTTCCTTCCCCATTCCCCCTTTCTCCTTTCCTTTCCCCTTCCCCCTTCTCCTTCCTCCCTTCCTCCCTTCTCCTTCCCCTTCCTCCCATCTCCCAGGAGGGACTCGAAGTACCTCATCCGCACCTCGACCTCGACCTCCAAGCCCGACTCTCCCCTCGAGCGGCTGGAAGAACTGGTCCTCTCGACGGCGGCAGGAAGGGCGTTCGGCTCGTGGACATCGATAGGAAAATAACCCTTCCTGTCTCCATACCTAAGGGCGGAATTGACATCTGTTACGAGGTTGAATTGAAGTCGACAGCGGAGTTGCTTTGGAGACTTTGTCCTAAAGGTAAGGAAAGCAGTTTATACGTATATATATATATTATATATATATATATATAATATATATATATATATATATATAATATATAATATATATGTGTGTGTGTGTGTGTGTGTGTGTGTGTGTGTGTGTGTGTGTGTGTGTGTGTGTGGTGTGTGTGTGTGTGTGTGTGTGTGTGTGTGTACATATATAGATAGATAAATTGATATATATAGATATAGATATATACACACACATGCATGCATACACAGACACAAATATTAGAAGCTAATAAACACACAGCATGTCACAGCAAAGAATATTCACTGTAAAAAATATATATGCATATTTCAGAAGAGTCAAAAATACACATATTTCAGAAGCGTCGCCGCTGTGTGCCGTGGCAACCTGGCCAGAAACCACGTCGGGAACGCCACAATTGCCAGCGTTTGTCGATCGAACTACAGACGGATTATCAACAACGACATTGATCTCCCTCAACTTCACAATCTACCACTTTCGAATCTTCAACCTCATCTCCAACATCACAGTCCCCAACCTACGAAACCCCAACCACATCACCAAAATCCCCAATTTTGAAATCGCTAACGACAACTTCGGCTTCACAGTCCCCAACCTCTGAAACCCCAACCACGACATCACAATCCCCAACTTCTGAAACCCCCCAAATATCATCAAAATCCCCAATTTTGAAATCGCCAACGACAACAGCAACATCCCAATCCCCAACTTCTGGACACCCAACCACAACTTCGGCTTCACAATCCCCAACTCCCGAACCGTCAGTACCACCCCTAATACCAGCCGCTCGGACCACCTCGACCACCACGACCACCCCTGCCACGCCTCTGAGCGCCCTGCAGCAGGGTAGTGGCTCTCCGTCTCCCAGGTTGAAGGCAGCTTCGGGTTTAATTGTCTTCTTCGCACATTTAATCATCTTTCTTACTTATTCAGTCTTCAGTCGTTTAATTTGAGAATTGATTTGATTTGATTTAATGTCTAATGATTTCTAGACGTGATTTCAATGTATTTATATTCATGGTTTTCTGAAAGTCTATTGTGTGCGCTCGTGTAGCTGTGTCTATTACCTTTTTCTGCTCCCGTAAAATGGGATATGTTTTATATTTAATTACCTAAGATGGACAAACAGGCCTTAATATATAGGTTCTATAGGTACTGTACCTACCCCCCCCCCCTTCCCCCTGAGGGTTATAGGCAATTGGGGTTCTGTTCCTAAGTGTCGCCAGGAAGGTTCGAACTCCCGAATGTAAGAAAAATAAATGTTCACAAAGAACATTTCGTTGCGAAGAACGTCACGAAGCATTTTGTGGCTCATAAGATTTTTAACGTACTCGTGTAGGGTGCAATGTCCCTTACATAATTTTTTTTTCAAGTTGTCAAGATTAATGAATATTTCACCCGGGAATAGTTTTTGTATATACACTCAATAATTAATAATTTTTACTGCTTAAATATGTAATCCAACATTCACGGTTTTCAGTTGAATATTCAAAATATTATTCCGAAACCTCTAATACAGACATGATTAGAAAAATGTGTTTTAATTATGAACGTTGGCAGCAGCTGCGAACACATTCCATTTCATATTCTAACATAATTATATGATACATGATTATGTTAATGTAATTTTGCATATACATTTTTTTGTATTTTTCTTCTTATTTTTGTTTATAATTTAATTGCTCTTATTCAATAGTTGAATGAAGATTGAGAAATCATTTTCGTGTTTTTCTTTCCAATATATATTTCATTCCTAAAAAGTAAAGAAAATGTGCTGCGTGTTATAGGAATTACACATTTTTTTCTGTTCTTTTGAAAGAAAAAATCTAAATAGGCAAAATAAAAATGTAAGTGAAAAGTAAATCTTAATATATTGATAATATATAATATATATATATATATATATATATATATATATATATATATAATATAAACTACCAAATAGCAAAAGATACATTCTAACGCTCTCATGGTATTTGTAGAGAGAGAGAGAGAGAGAGAGAGAGAGAGAGAGAGAGGAGAGAGAGAGAGAGAGAGAGAGAGAGAGAGAGAGAGAGAGAGAGAGAGAGAGAGGAGAGAGAGAGAGCGAAGAGAAGAGAGAGAGAGAGAGAGAGAGAGAGAGAGAGAGAGAGAAGAGAGAGAGAGAGAGAGAGAGAGAGAGAGAGAGACAGACAGACAGACAGAGAATCGAAACTACTGTCATATATTATTGTCACAATTACTATTATCATCATCCATTTAATAAAATGAGAAAAAAAAGAGAAAGTGATAGTTAAACCACAAAATCAACCATCAACCGCTTAATTAACGTTGACTCTATCTATCTATCTGTCTGTCTCTCTCCTCTCTCTCTTTCTCTCTCTCTTTCTTACTCTCTCTCTTTCTCTCTACTCTCTGTCAGTGTCTGTCTCTCTCTTCTCTCTTCTCTCTGTCACCTCTCTCACACACACACATACCGGTCACAGCCTGGCACCGCTAGTGAAATATGTCGTCTGCATCCGTAAAGTAGAATCGCCAGTCCTGCAATTATCATTTTTCACAAGAAATCCACACTTTTTCAATAAAGGTGATACGTAATTGACTTTACGCTATATGATGTGCCCCCCGCAAAAAAATATGTGTTGGTTTACATAGGCCTTACCGTAAACAAGTGCATCATTATTCATGCAAAAAGCGATTATGTGTCTCCTTGTTCACACTCATCGCCAAAAAATAACTTTGGTCTCAATGGTCTCGGATGATAAGGCCTAAAAACTCGCGCCCTTTTCTGAACGATTATTTGGGATCAGATCAATATGTATGGGCGTGTGGGCTTCTTGTATATGCAAAACAAACGTTCATTTGTTATCTGACTCACTGCCATACACCCGTCAAATTTATATAAGTGCTCTGTTGTATAGATCCATCAAGAGGAAGCCAAAGACTCTTCACGCATGTCATTA